TGGCAGCGCAGGGCGTCATACATGACAGCACAGGACACTCCGCATGGTGGCACAGGGCGCTATACATGACAGCACAGGACACTCCGTATGGCAGCGCAGGGCGCTACACTGAGAAATCAAACATGGGAAAGAGACTGGCCTAGAGAAGAGTGGAAGACCTACAAATGAGCCACACACAAATGGTAACAAAACAATTACCATGCCTCCATATGGATTTAGAGTATTTACCCCCCACCACCACCACACTGCCGCCCCAACAAACACCATTTCTTTTGGGCAGTAAAACAAACCTTGAAGATCTATCTGACTGCATTCACCTAAAATAGTAACAACAAAATGCCAGAAAGCCAAATATAAAAGGCCACCTGTAGTTCAAGCATTAAGGAGGCCTGAGGCAGGAACAATGCCTTAAATTCAAGGCTAGTTCCGGTCATGGAGAGAGTTTGAGGCCATCCTGGGCTATGTAGAGTTCCAGGCTAGTCAGTCTCAAAGAATGAGGGAACTGAACCATGTAAAGGATGTCTGTCTGCAGGAAGTCAGCATAAGTAACGCAGTTCTTTCCTTTTCAGTTCTGATAGAGTCATTTCCTACAGGACAAACCGTCACTACTGATGACTGTCACCATGCTCAGTCATTTCATTTTATGCACTGAGAGCAAAGATCACTTCAAGGATGAGGTCAGGTCATGTGGCCATCCTAGCTGTGGGAACAGAGAAATCCCAGCAGGTTTGTCCTCTGTCTAGGCTTACCAAGCACTCCAAGTGTTCATGTGGTCCGGGGTTAACTGACCAACTGACTAAAATGTTGGCTAAGGAGAGATTTATTTTTGCTTTTGGCAAAAAAAAACCCAAAAAAACAAACAAACAAAAACCAAAAACCAAAACAAACCCTTTAACTAATATATGACATATAAATTGTTTATTTTAGTGAAGTAACATGAAAAGTTTAAGACCTGGAACTGTTGTGTGCCAGACATTCACATGTATATTTTGGGTACAGGCCTGAGCCAGAGATGCATGTTGGGTGTTTTCCTGTATTGCTCTCCATAATATTGTTTGAGCCTGAAAGTTCACTATTTTGTCTAGGCTGGTTGGCAGGCAACTCCAAGGACCCATTCACCTCCCTCAACGCTGGAGTTCTGGACACACATCTGCCCTTCCCACAGGTGATGAGGACTTGAACTCAGGTCCTCTTGCTTTCACAGCAAGTGCCCTGGACTCAGAGCCATCTCTCCAGCCCCAGAATCGCTTTTTTTTTTTAATCAACATGTGACCCTTTCCCCACCTGGTGTGTTTTGCTAGTCCCAACCAAGGACTGTCAAGGCAGGTGAGTGCTATGACTAAAATCACCTCCTTTAAGTCCTACCTGGAGACCAGGACCAAGGTTCGCTGCAGAATCTTTCTAATGCACACGGTCCATTCTGGTCATTGCATGTTTTCTTTCCCCCTTTCCATAGCAACTTTTTAGTTCTGGCCTTCATGAGTCTTCCTGAAATGCTCACTCTAACTTCACAAAAACAACTACTTTCCATGCTATTTGTTAGTTTTAATTTCAAACATGGTCTGAGACACAGAGGCTGGCAAGGACCCACACAAGCCTTTGGTGGGGAGCAGCACAGGCAGGAGCCAGCAGCACCTTGTCCTGGAAAGCATGTTCTACCACAGAGGGAAGAGCACAGCCAATTCAGCAGGTTGGGTAAGTGATGCCCAGCAGAAGAGCTCCTGTGGCTTACAAAAGTAAACTGTCTGGCAGAGGATTTTTTTTTAAAAAAGATTTATTATTTATTATGTAAACAGTGCTCTGTCTGCATGTGTGCCTGCAAGTCATAAGAAGGTACCAGATCTCATTACAGATGGTTGTGAGACATCATGTGGTTGCTGGGAATTGAACTCAGGACCTCTGGAAGAGCAGCCAGTGCTCTTAAGTACTGAGCCATCTCTCCAGCCCTGGATTTTTTTTTAAAATAAGAAAGATTTAATTTTTACTTATTCGTTCGTTTGTTTGTTTTTATGTGTATTGGTGTTTTGCCTGCATATCTGTCTGTGTGAGGTGTCAGATCCCTGGAACTGGACTGACAGACAGTTCCTTACAACAGTGAGCTTCCCTGTGGGTGCTGGGAACCTGGGTCCTCCAGAAGACCAACCAATGTTTTGTTTGTTTGTTTTTCGAGACAGGTTTTCTCTTTCCTGGAACTAGCTCTTGTAGACCAGGCTGGCCTCAAACTCACAGAGATCCCCCTGCCTCTGCCTCCCAAGTGCTGGGGATTAAGGCGTGCACCATCACCGCCCAACATAACCAGTGATTTGAATAACCATTGAGTCATCTCTCCAGCCCCGATTTATCTTTATTTTTAATTATGTAAATGCATGTATATTTGCATGTTGACGTATTTACGAGAGTGGAGAAGCCCATGGAAGCCATAAGGGGGCCAGAAGTAGGTGTTGGATCCTCTGGAGCTAGAGTTACAGGTGATTGTGAGCTACCTGACATGGGTGCTAGGAACTGAACTGGGGTCTTCTGCAAGCATAATGTGTGCTCTAAACTGTGGAGGCCTCTGTTCAACCTCTGGTAGAAGATTCTTACATAACAACAGTGGCTAAAAGATAAATCTTCACCATGGAAAAAAAAGTGAACAAGACCCATAAACAAACAATTCGTGGAAAACTAAAATCATCATTAGACATGGAAAGTGTGTAAAGCCTTGCTGGGAATCAAAGAATGCCAATTCTTCAAATTGGCAGGCCCTTCTGGACACCAGCAGGAGTGTGGGTGAGACATCAGGACAACTGGCGTTCTTCTACAGTGCTTGCAGCAGGGTATGTACAGCAGGGTATGTGAAGCTGGGTTAACACAACTAGCCTCAGACTCACAATCTCTCAACATCTTTGGCAATTTATCCCAAGATTTACAAACAATGTCTTGTGTACACCAATTTTAAAAGATAGCACAAAAAAAGGAAGGTTCAAAATACCCACTGATCAAGTTAAGGCAGGCTATGCTCCATCCATAAAACAGGATACTTTGAAGGCCACTTGGGATGTTGTAATGTGTTTTTTTTTTTTCTTCTCAGTTTTTTTGAAACAAGGTTTTAATGTGTACCCAGGCTGTTCTGAAACTCACTCTGTAGACCAGGCTGGCCTCAAACTCACAAAAATCTGCCTTCCTCTCCTCCCTGTGCTACTAGCCCCCTCAGCAGGATGCTTTAGATAGGGCTCAGTGGCAGAACACTATCCTAGAAAGTGTACGCCCTGGGTTTGAGCCTCAATACTACAAAAAAACAAAATACTTTTGCAAAAAAAAAAAACAAAACAAAAAATCTTTCTAAT